CACTACAACCCAGCTCACTGCCCTCACCCAACCAACCCCCGAAGACCTCCGCAAAGAAATCCGCAGATGTCGCACCATGACCAAATACCCCTTCGGAGTGAACCTGACCCTCCTCCCCGCCATAGTTCCCCCTGACTACGCTGCCTACGCCCAGGTCATCATAGATGAAGGAATCAAGATCGTCGAGACCGCTGGTAACAACCCAGGCCCCGTCATTACCCAGCTGAAGAAGGCCGGTACCATCATCCTGCACAAGTGCACGACAATCCGTCACGCCAAGTCCGCCGTCAAGCTCGGCGTGGACTTCCTTTCTATCGACGGCTTCGAGTGTGCCGGCCACGTCGGTGAGCACGATATCACCAACTTCATCCTTTTGAGCCGTGCCCGCCAGGAACTCGGCGTTCCGTTCATCGCCTCGGGTGGATTCGCCGATGGTCAGGGCCTTGCTGCTGCCCTGGCGCTCGGTGCTGAGGGTATCAACATGGGTACTCGTTTCATGAGCACCGTTGAAGCTCCGATCCACCAGAAGGTCAAAGAGGCTATCGTCGCGGCAGAGGAGACTGATACCGCGCTTGTGCTGCGTCGGTGGAAGAATACTTCCCGCCTGTTTGCTAATAAGGTGGCCAAAGAGGCATTGAAGGTTGAGCAAGAAAGCAAGACTGGCGAATTCAGTGAGGTTGGGCCTTATGTTAGTGGCAAGCGGGGTCGTGAGGTCTTCATTAATGGTGACGTTGATTTCGGCGTAAGTTACTTCCAAAATTATGCATGTCTCGTGTGTGTTTGCTGATTGTTCGTCATACAGGTGTGGACTGCCGGCCAGGTTATCGGCTTGATTCACGATATCCCGACTTGCGAGGTCTTGCTCACCAGGATTGAGAAGGAGGCCTTGGAAGCAATGAGCCGGACCAGGTCTTTGTTTACCGATGCCCCCTCCAGCAAGCTTTGAAGGATTTTATGTTACAAATGTGGTTTTGGGCTTATGTTTAGCGCCATATTATTTGGAAGATTAAATACAATCAACTAGTTGAGATTTTGGTCTATTTTTGATGACCTTTGTACATTTGCATTTTGAATCTCACTTCCAAGCTTTTTCCTTCAGTTCAAGTTAATCAAGATCCACGTCATCTCTACTAAAATAAGAGGTACAACATACGTACTCACTCCCAAAAGAGGGTTGGTCAATCAATAACAAGCATTCCTGAGCGAGGGTCCGTGACATTATATCAAGGATCTGCAAGCACGCAGATCCTCGGATACGCGGGCATTCCTCCAATTCCAACTCCAACCTCCAACAATAATGCTTCCAACACCATGGCGGAGTCACTTTTCCAAGATCTGCTATTGGAACCGATAAAGAAATAATAAAAATTTCTCGAACCCCGTGTCCTCTCGTGCGAGGTCAAAAAGAGAGTGGAGACGTCCTTGCATGCAGTCGATCCTCTGGGGAATTCTTGAACAAGCTACCCTTTCCGGTCCAGGCCATTGGCCCTGTTTCAGTTATATCTTCGATTTCTCGATTGTGCTTCCTGCGTCGTGGCCTTTGTGCATGATATCATTCACCATAATTGGTCTCCGAGCAACCCTTACCACGAACTTATACTGTGATGCTTGGTACGCGTTCACTGTAAATTTTAGTATCTAGATGACGAGGAATAGAGGATCTAGAGGTAAACGTAGCTGTGTTTGAGATTAACATACACAATCCAACTGCTCGGCCAAATATATTAAATCCCATTGCGTCGCACAGCAGGACATACAACCGAGCATTACCCCGTGAAGATCAAGATAGCGACATACCTCGTCCAACGTATCTCCAGCCCAGAATCGAACACGGCCGAATTAAGTTTCTATCTCTTCCCTCCTCTCCCGCAATCAGATATTCGATTCATACCAACTCTACTAGCTATCCCAATCTTCATCAACATCAAAACTATCCAAGTTCACATCCAATCCCATACCTACACCTACCACCACACACGCAAACTCTCCCACAAAACCAACTCTCCAAAGTCCAAAATGGGTTTCATATCTACCCTAGTACGCCGCATGCGCATTCGCCGCCTCTCCAAAAGACTCTCAACAACAAGCACCAAACTCCACGACGAAGATTCAAACGATCTAATCAAAACAACCTCCAAGACAGCCTCGCTGACACGCGTTAGCCTGGACTCAACCTCAACAATGGTCCACCACTCGTTTCACGAGCCTGTCCTGCCCAACGAGTCATCGGAAAACCGTATGCAGATGAGGCCAGATAATGGGAATATGCGGACCTTGTTCGATGAGAATACCACCTCCCATTCGCCAGATCGCGCTGCCAGGCCACCGTCCAAAACCCCGTATCCTATTTTGAAATTGGATTGTCGGTCGCCTGTCGAGGCGCCGAGGAGGGTGGTGCAGGGGCCCTTGGAGACGGGGTATGAGGTCAAGGGAGGAGAATTGGGTTGTTCGTCTGCGACAACGGCCGAGAAGGGCTTTTCACCTACTGAGAAATATGTGCCTGAGAAGAAGGATAGGAGGTCTATGAGCGCTTTGCTGAAGAGACATTGTGGGTTGAATATCCCGCGCTCGTCGATTTCGATTAAGACTTCGTCGCGCGGTGTGGCGTCGCCGAGGTGGTTGGATTCTGCTGGGCTTACGGAGGAGGAGAGTTTGGTAGAGAAACGGAGTGAGAAGTGGGTGGAGGATGGAGTGCAAGATGAGAAGAGGAGGAATAGTGTATGGAATAGTGTTGGATTTGGGAAATGGTAGTCTATTCAAGTGAGTCTCAATTCTGGTGCACATAGTTGGCATGGTAGTTTTAATAAAGTCAAAATTGAACGTTTATAGTATTTACATGGAGGTAGAAGGTAGATGATGACTGTTGGAAATTGAGGTGATAAAAGGTCGTGAACTAGGAATAAGGACAGGGCCTAGCTTGTGACTTGCTCAGGGCGAGGATGAGATTTGCTGCAAGGGATATTGGATTATAAGATATGAAGGGTTGAACAGTTAGAAAGAAGCAGTGAAGCGGGATTGCGTAGTATCTTCTACAGTTTCGAAAAGGTGAGGGCGAATTAAAGTAATATATGCGAAAGAAGCCCTCCGAGATAGCAGATGGGCGGTTCTAATGCGCAAAGCAGGTGTCAAATTGAGAAACAGAAATCAAAACAATCTTCTTTCTCCGAGTTCTAGCGAAACAAACACCTCTAACCAATCAAAAATCTAAAAGCCTGCTTCTCCGAAGTCGATAGCAGTCCACATAGTCATTGCGAACTTTGCACCATCCAAAGAGCCGGTACGATGGCCGGTGCTTTTTGTATGATGCTAGAAAATATAGCGAAGCGCTCAGGTGATAGTCAAGGGCAAAAAATGCCTAATTTTCTCCCGCTGCCCAAATTGCATGAGATGGTATGTCTTAGCAAAGTAATACGTAGAGGTTCAAGATATATATTTTGGAACAGTCAGGGTGGTAGATTACTACACTTCTTCTACCTACACCTGGGCAACCCATGCGTTTGATTTAATAAACGATGTCTTACAGGAAAATAGTATTGCTAAATATGGAATTGTTTAATGACTTAATGTTATTTACAGATTTTTCATACTTAGTATACCACCCCTATGCCGTAGTAACTGCCTCTGCTCTGCCCAGTCCATAGTGCTCACCAGTCAAAGAACTCCTAACTACGAAGTGGCATAGCGCTCAGGGTCGTATACGCTCATTTGATACCCCAATGACTATATTTGGACAGAATATAGACCGCTTTTTACACCTCTCTATACGAATTATAGTTCATCAACATATTCCAGCACGGAACACATGGGCCCGATGAGCCTATAAAATGAAGCTTTGTATATATAAATTTATCCATTATTACATTTTAAGGTGGTTACCTACCTACTATACGATATTAGAGCTTCTAGTCCCAATTTTTATAATAAAACCTAGGATCTCTGACTTTTATCTCACTTTCTCTCACTTCCTAAAATTTCAGGCTAGATTGAAATGAGTGTATGCTACCCTGAGCGTTACACCCCTTCCTAGTCACCTGATTGGAAAAGCCCTACCTCCAGATTCCTATAACCATTACCGTAATTTTTGCTATTCACTAACAGACCCTAGGGTATAAATACCCTGATTTTTCATAGAGTGATCAATCAGGACTTCTTAATTCTCCCTCTCCCGCAGCCAGTAGCTGCGAGAGGCTCTCGTCGTTGAATACTATCTTCTCGATGCATGGTACATTGAGGTGAGTTTGAACGTTGCCTCGATTGACACTCGAGCCATGCATGCCAAGTTAAACGACCAAGAGTGGAAGAAGGTCGTTGAAGGTTTCAATGACCTAAACAGCAACCTGAAAGTCTTGATAATCACCTATAACATCGGCTCAGTAAGGCTCAACCTACATAAAACCTGCGACTTTGTCATTCCTTCAGCGCCAGGACGGAGTTAGAGCTAGAAAGCCTAGACATTTGGCCGCTGCTTACGAGTATGTTCTTTATCCAATAATACCACTAGAAGGACAGCCTTACTAACATTCGGATTTAGATCAACTCGTGGTACGATGTAAGCGTGATTCGAATCGAAGTTCCAGAGTTGCATGATCAGTTTCCAGCTGGCAGTCAATGCTTGCGAGTCAGCCATCAAGTCGCTTCTATTGAAGCTCCTCTAGCAACTCCAAGCTGAAGTTGACGCGTTCTGGGAAGATGACAAAGCGAAAGAGCTACTCGAAAAGAAAGCTGCAACCGAGAAGCATTACGAAGAAAACTGCTTGCCGCCTTCCTCTCTCATAAAGCCAAAGAGAAAAAAACAAGCTGTCGTATTACTTTGAATGATACGCCAAATCAACAATCAAGAATAAACGATTTGTATATTATTATTCCCAGAAAGTAAATTTAATCAGATCGAGTCCCGATTCGCATTGCCTTGCATTCAATACATGCAAAAAAAAATAAAAAATAATGATCGATCATAAAGAAGTGAAGTCCGTTTTCTCAGAAATTGAACAAGAAGATTATTAAAAGAGAGCCAAAAGGACAAGACCAAAAGCCCAGAAACTAGACAAAGATAGTTTCGATCCAAAATTTCCGTAAATAACAGTTTCAGCTGGCTCGGATGGTGCGGGCTTGGTTGGCGTGAAAGCAGTCGTGGGCTTAGACACAGTTGCTGTATAAAGAGGGGTGGCGGGAGTTTTGCAGCTAGTCGTCAACGTCGAGGACGACTTGTGCACATAACCGGTGTGAGAAGGAGTGCTGACAGGAGTGACAACTACCAGATTCACAGAGGTTGTGGAAGAGCAAGTGACCGTGCTGAACTCAACAAGGGGAACAGTGGCGGTATGCGAGGCCCAGCTGATGGTGGTACAAGGAGGCTGGGGAACAGATGTAGCTACATCAACAGTCTCAACAAACGTATGTGTGATTTTAGGATCAGCAGTGGTGATAGGGGCGTAAACTGAAGAAGTGAAAGTAGTCGTGCAGGTTGAAGCGATGTCGACAATAGCAGGGTTCTTCGGAACGAAGGGCGCGCAAATGCCAGCGAAGTAAGCAAGGGCAGAATCTTCCTCGCTCTTGGAGCTGCTCCAGGCCTGGATGCACGAGCTGACTTTATCTGTGAACTCGGTGGATGGGCAGAAGCATGCGGCGTCGCTGTTGGAGTCGCACTTGGGAATGGAGAGCCATGTGTTGAGGCACTTGGGAACTACGTTGGGGCAGGGGGCGGTAACAACGGGTGGGCTGGGCCCGGTAGCGGTCGTGGTGTGGATGGGATCAGTGACCGGGGGGTGCGTGTACACAGCCGAAGATGTCTCCGGATCCACGGGCTTAGATGGGCAGACCGTGGTTGACAAGGGGTATGTAGAGGTAACCAATACAGTCGAATGGCCAGGGCAGTTGGTGACGGTTGGTGCGCATTTGGTGATTGTGAACTCCTGGGTAGTCCAGACTGTTGAGGTCGTCATCTGCCAGGTGGGGTCGCTGATGGTAGAAACCTTCGGCGTGGCAGACGAGGTCCAATGCGCAGGAGGCAGGGAAGCAGTCGGGGTAGGCTCACGGTGAGTGTGAGGGGGGTCATAGTGGCTAATCGTAGAAACCTTGGGCGTAACAGGCCGAGTCCAGTGCACGGAAGACAGGGAAGCAGTTGGGGTAGGCTCAGGGTGAGTATGAGGGGGGTCATAGTGGCTAACGGTGGAAACCTCAGGCGTAACGGGCGAGGTCCAATGCACAGGAGGCTGGGGCGGCTTGATTCCAGTAGAGCAGTCAAAGTCAATTGAATGAATCTCTAGGTCGCAATCGTCGACCTGACTCTCTTCCGGAAGCGTGAATTCGACTGAGATAGCACCACCACACTGGTCGTTGCCGACATCAACTCCGTTGGACGAGCTCGAAGCGACCTGATGACAGGAAGAACCATCAGGCATCTCGTAGAGGATGAAGACATCAGTGCTCTCGGAAGTTGAGAGATGGAAGTTTCGGATTGAGAATGGAGCGTCGTTGGCGGAAATCTTGATTGTCCAGTCATCATCACTAGACAACGTTCCACCAAGACAAGAGCCCTTCAAAAAGTTAGAATCCAGAGCCTTTGAATGTGTGATCATGACCTACCTCGTATCCATGGCAGTCATCCTTGGGCTCGAGTCCAACGAAGTGGAAGCCTCCAAAGTCCCAATTGTTTCCAAAGACCCAATCATCACCATCCAGCAGCTCGGACAAGTCAAAGCCGTCCTCCTGAGCATCCGAGCACTGATTGTCGGTATTTTCGGGACTAGTGAAGCAAAGATCGGTACCCCACCACTAAGATATTTCGTCAGATCTATGCTTTTGGGGTTATAGAAATATAGAAACGCAAGTACTCACAAGGCCCGCTGGATGAGCTAGAGCAGCACCAAAAAGCGAAAGAAGAGTAATTCCCTTCATAATGGGGGAACACTGTATTAAAGCCAGTAAATAATCAAGATAACAAAATGAGCGAATGACGCTTTAGTTGAGCGTGGGTCTAAAAAAGAACGAAAATAAGGGACGTTGTTGGCGAATTTTGTCGAGTGGATGTTGGATAGCATCAAAGACAGCCAGGATCTGGTCCTTTTTAAACTCAAGATGTTCGGAAGAATTATCCTGGGAACCCCTAGTTAAGCTTTACCATCAACAAACAATATGGGAATGTCAGCCACTATTATGCAGGTATTCGAGATAAGTCCAATGGTGAAAGCTCAAGCTCATCGTAAAACAGCCGTTTGTACTTGAATCAGGGAGCTTACATCGCCGTAGTTCCAAGAATTGATCAAGGGGGGACATTCCAGCGTCAACAACTATGACAGGCCAATCAGAGCAGTCTGTTGCTATACCCGAGCTATAGACCTCGCTCAAAATCGCCAAATATCAAAAGGGGTGGAAATTCAAGTAAGGAGTAGCAGTCTGGAAATAATTATTCACCTTGGAACAATTCGTAGCATCCTAAATGGTAATCTCGAGCTATATCCCAGTTTATAAAACAGTTCGTTGCCCGAGAGACTTCTATAATATGATATGAGCTCGATGCCATTATGAAAGAGGTCAGATAATATAGGGGAGATATGGCCTCCTACATAGGCCCTAAACATATACCTTGGTTTTTGTTATGATCCAATAGTGATATATACGCTCTATTTTCCACACAAAAGGCCGTATAAATATATATCTATACTAAGTATATCCATATTAAAGTAGATTTGTAAATCGAACGTTGGGGTTTCGGCTGAACATCTTAACTTTTCTTCAAAGTTTCTACTAGCCTCAGAATAGTGAAGCTAGCAGAATTACATAGAACCTGCATCTGTTGTTTATCTTATATCCGCAATCCACGAGGCGTCAAAACAAGTGGAAGAGATCTAGAACTATGAATACTCAACGACATTCCTGCTCGCGCATTCCAAACAATTGCCTAATGAGTAATCATCGTCTTCTTCTCTTTTGTTAGTTGTACTCATTGAATAATATGTGACCGACTTTCCACATGTTATCTCCCTAGGGACCTCATACGGAGGGAGAGGAAATCACGCACCACAGAAGGCAAGGTATATTCATGCTCTTGAGAACACGCTCCGGATATAAGTGTCTGAGTGCATAATCATAATCCATTTTTACAGCTTGCACTGTATCTCAGAAACAACCCAGTAACTAATCAGACCAAATCACAAATCGAGAAATCAATCATTGCGCCCAACTTGTTTGGATTGCGTGCGAACCCATAACGGAATGATGATGGCGAACAAGATGAACTCTTCATTAAAGGGAGACTTTTAGTTAATATCATGTTGAGTACGTCCCGGAGGCTGCGCAAATGAGAATGCTGAGATGGCAATTACTAGCATGGTACCATGCCATGACTAGAAGTCAAAGTCATAGTGCGATTCCCTTGCAGCATATCTGAACTGTAGGAGAGAGTCATCTCAGTAAGTTAAATTTCATCTGAGTTAGAAGTGAGATATGCTCAATAGATTTTGAGGCCCTGGAGCATGTAGTAACACTTGCAGGTGTTGATGTATGCTCGCACGCTAATCCTAGTTAGGGTTAGCGTACAAACTGTCCCATTTTAGTAGGCGGTGACGCCAAATGCCCCGCACGGACCATGTATTTCGACTGGGTAGATTGCGCATCCTTCTCTTTCTCTTCTGTCAATTGGTTACCTTTCTGCAAGAATCATTGCTCTCATTGCCCAGCATGTCTGCCTCACCAGAAGCATCGGTATCTGCTCCAAAAGAGCGCGCCAGTGGCTCACCCAGCCCTGCCTTGTCGAACCTTGCGACGGAAGCCAAGCATGACATCGACAGCCAGGAAATCCAGGCGCCAAAGAATGAAGGACGCCAACCAGCTGACGAACCGGAGACCGACGCGTCAAAGTCGCAATCCGATGAACTCGAACAAGGTGAACTGACCTCTGAGCCACCACTTCCCGATGAAGTCCCACCACCACTTCCCACCGAGGCTCCGCCCGCACAGCCCGAGGACGATGGATGGGAACCTGCATGGGACGCCACCGCACAAGCATATTACTTTTACAACCGCTTCACCGGAGTTTCGCAGTGGGAAAATCCCCGCGTTCCCCAGGTCCCAGCAGTCGCAGCAATCCCAGCAGCACCCGGTACAGAAGATAGTCACCAAAGCGCAGCCCCGAAAAAGGAACCAGTACTTGGTGGCTACAATCCCGCGATCCACGGCAATTATGACCCCACGGCACCGTATGCGCAATACCACGAAGAGCCAGAACAGCCCACGAGCGCAGTCGGTCTCGACCCATCCGCAGCATATGCAGCTACCGGCACATTCAACCGCTTCACTGGACGATGGCAAGCTGAAGCAATCAATCCGGAAAACCACAATGACGAGAACAAGTCTCGACGACAGATGAATGCTTTCTTCGACGTTGATGCCGCGGCTAACAGCCATGATGGCCGGAGCTTGCGCGCGGAGCGCAGTGCTAAGAAGTTGACAAAGCAAGAGCTGAAGCAGTTCAAGGAGAAGCGTCGTGAGAAGAAGGAGGAAAAGAGGCGCGCTTGGCTGAGGGATTAAGCGCCTGTGGCTAACTGTTTGTTTGAGTTGTGGGAGGGAGGGAGGGTTGTTTGATGTATTCTCTCGTTGCCACCGGTCGCATTGCCATTTCGGAGTCTTTTGATACCATCCCACCGGATGTGGGACTCGGCGTTTGAGCTTGTTTGATTTGTTCTTCTCTTGGCGTTCTGCCTTGCATGTGGATAGAGGCAGGCCGGAAGTCCGTCTGCCTCTCCACGATTGTGTAAAGTCATTTTTGTACAATGTACCATGTATCAACATAATGCTCGTCTCAAAATGAGACTCTTTCCAGTAATTCAAATCCGCAGCATGTGCGCGTAGTGATTGGTATCCATGTTCATTCGACGTCTATTGTTGTACCGTTGACTGATAGCCCACTATCAGTCACATGACCCGCGATATCAAATTATTTTTTGCGGCGATCGCTTCATTTGTTGCCGGGATACTCCACGCTAGAAAGCAAAGAACTGAAAGCAAAGGTAAGATTGAATTTAATTTCTGTTCGTTGACTCCAAATTTTTGGAAAGACACCTTGAACACCGTTCCCCATCTTGTGGCTGTTGTCCTTGACATTGAAACGCTTATCGACGACTTTGAATTGCAACATGGATATATCATGGGGGCGTATGTTGTCGTACTATGCAAAATTCCCAATCTCCCCAAAGTCATTATGACCTTATAGACATCACACCCTTTGTTTTCTTGTCACTTGTCTTGTCTTCTTCAAATTGTGAACAACCGCCTTATTACTGACACCCCACTCTAGCTACATCAAACAAAGTGGGATATCAAAATCAACCCCACTAGAAAGAAAGAAAAAAATAATACCAAAAACTTGGTTCATTATCTATCACACATCATGTCTGCTTCCACGACATCACAGGCAAAGCCTTCAGTGCCAATCGCACTCTCCGTCGAGGCAATCGATGATCTTATCTATGACGCCCGAGCAGGTGACCTCGAGGCCCTGAACGAGGACATCGCCAACTTGGCCAGCCAACACAGCTGCAACGAGTCCCAGATCGTGGCATCTGCTATCGACATGGCAGATGAGAGCGAGGGCGGCTCGGGATCTTGCATTCTGCACTTCCCCGCTGCGAATGGAAACGCAGGTATGTCAATTGAACGACTTATATGATGACTTGAACTTTTTTTACATGTCATGTCAAATATTTTGTTTTCTCCCGCCGCCTCTTTCTTTGATTTACTAACACCACCCCAGAAATCCTCAAAACTCTGCTCCAAAAGCTGTCATCCGGAGACGCTGCCCAGCGTACCGCGCTGGTTAATCACCGCAACAACTCTGGCAACACGCCCCTGCACTGGGCTGCGCTTAACGCGCACCTGGAATGTGTTAAGGCGCTTGTCGAAGCTGGTGCAGACCTTGATGTTAAGAACGATGCTGGTCACGACGCTGTGTTCCTTGCTGAGCGGACGGCGTGGGCTGCTGTTGAGGGTGACGAGGATGTTGAGGGTGCCGAGGGCGATGATGGTCAGACTCAGGAGATTGAGATGACTATTGGTGAGAATGAGGGTGAGGAGAAGTCTGGTGAGGGTGTTGGTGAGATGTCTGCAGGCAGACAGGTTGTTGAATGGCTCCTGAATTCCGATGTTGCTGCCAGTTTGGAGAAGGGGGCTACTGAGGGATCGGCTTGATCTATATCAATGAGGTCTCTGGATGGCATTGCTTTTTTTGGGAAACGATTGAAGAAAAGTTTAAGATTTCACGCATAGAATCGGAGATATGGGTACTTTCTATTCTTTTGCATATGTTGTTTGTTAGTGTCTATATTAATGCATTTTGATTTTCTCCATCATAACATTACATTGACAGACAATGCAGGGCTTTAGTGCTTTCGTATACATAATCTTCGTATGCTCTCATCTACACATCAATTCAATCACTGTGGACCTTGCCCGCTACCGCTCCGGTAGAAGACGAAACCCCCACAGGCAGAGTAGGGGTATCAATCTCCCGAACTTTCGCATCGAAGCCGACCTTAAAACGGCGGTCTCGCCAGACGACTGTCACACCGCCATATACCGCCATGATCCAGATAGGCAGGGCCAGTAATTCGCGGCCGAGCCATGCGGCAAACCATTGCATGAAAGGGCGACGAGTAATTTGGGATGATCGGTAGCGTTGAGGCCTAGCAAAAGCTGGGGTATCCTCATCCAACTCGATGCATTTTGCGGAATGCAGCTTGATATACAATGTCCAATCGACCAGGATCCAGGAGATTATGCCAAGTGCGAACAAAACAAAAAACGCGGTCCACGTCCCAAGATGAGCGGCAAATTGCATGCCTTTTCGTTCAAGATACGGAGCCAAGGCAGTGGTGATGCCCCAGGCGCCATAGACTGTGCATAGGAATGACTCGGTGCCGGGTTCGACAAGCGTAGCGAGCAGAACGGTAAATTTACGCACTCGTAGCCATCGGACACGACGAGCGATGTATGCCGGCACGCTCATATTGGCAACAGGCTGAATAGCCATGTCACCAAAGACCATGGCATGCTTGCCCCAACGCTCGCCAAGCTCTTTCTCTTCCCGCACCTGCTTCTTCCACAGCAGATCACCGATCAGATGGTCCTCGCAGATGTTGTCGGAGAAGAAATCGATGCCGGGATGGCGAGCCTCGGGACCCGAGCGCGAAGAACTGGTGAGATAGTCGAGATGGGAGCGGCGGAACATGTTGGATTTTCCCACAATGCATGGCGCAACGAGAACAGTGTTGATCGCGGTGTACATTTTCGCATGCGCGGAGGACAGGAACAGCTCTTCCAAGCGGCCGCCTCCAGTCGCGATCATGGCTGCAGGCCCATCCTCCGGACGCACGCATGGCATCGCTGCGGCCGCTGTATCAGCGGCCGTGGCTTGCGGGTTGGCATCTACGAGCGCCTGCCGCTCTTCACGCAGGTTGCTCTCTCCTGTCACATCCACAGCCACGGGTAGATGGTGCACGAACTTGTGTTTCTTGCTTGATGAGGGTCCAGTCCCACACAGTCTGTCCACCATCCGGGCACAAACTCCCTTCCCGACCCAGACATTGCAGTCAATGATCCAGACGATATCGCCTTTCGCTTCGCGGTATGCGCGGCTCATATTCCGGATCTTGGGATTCGGTCCAAGCGTGTATAAATTGTTGCCATCCTGCTGCAAAAGTGGATCTTCGTCTTCGACGAAAATCTGCGCGTCGACATGCGGGAAGTCGGTGATTAGTTTGCGGAGGGTAGGGTAGGCCGGGTCGTCGCGTGTTGATACACAGAGACGAATGCTGAGCTTATTCCCTGGGTAGTTCTGCCGAAAGGTGGCAGCGAGGCAGTCATAGAGGTGCGGCTCGAGGCCCTTGACAGGCCGGATGGCGGTGACGTGCGGTGCGTCGGAGGCGTTCGTTAGTCGTGACCGTTGCGGCTGGCTGAGGAAATATTTCCATCTGAACAGAAAGCAATTGCATTAGTGATATATTTTAATTCGGGATAGTAGTCGGAATCATACATCTGAAAATACCCCAGGCCGCAAACTCCAAGTATGAATGCATACCAGATCAGGGCAATCCAACCGACCGCGACGGACACGTTGAGCGCGTCATCGTCAGACCCAAGGAACGAAAAGGTAGGCTTTAGCATGGGACACGAAGGAAAGGCGACATATACGCAGACGCAGACGAGAATGACATTCTAGAGAAGAAGAAAAAGCAATCGGATGCGGGTCAAAATCATTTTTGGCAGCTGTCTCCGCCGAGGAATCTACAGGACACGTGCATTGGACCAACCAGAGGACATCTCTTCCAGACTACTATAAATATCAAAATCGCTGCCTGCTTGCAAAATAGTTGCCTGCTCGGAACCTCCGGATGTAAAGATAAGTGCTTATGTAGTTCAATTCCCGAAATTATATTCGTCTAGTCTCGAATAGGAATATGAAAAAAAATTTCCCCCAAACTCCAAGACCTATCGCCATGATACTGAAACCGAATGCAAATTCCCATTAATCATGTTTTCTTCTTCTTCCGGACCAGGCTCGCATTGAGCACATTGACGCCAGCCGGCTCTGACGGAGCTGGTTGTGTGTCTCTCGATTCACTCGGTGGTTGGGTACCATTCACGACGGGCGTGTTGCTCTCGCCCAATGACTTCTTTCGCTTGCGGATCAGTCCTAAATCTAGGACATTGTTGGTATTGGTATTGGCAGGCTGGGAAGTAGTGCTGATCGTCGTATTGCTGCCGACAACCTTCTTCCCCCATGTAAGCTCGTCCGCCAGGGAAGAAACTTGGTCAACGTAGAGTTTGGTACTGGCGATCACTTCTTTCTCGTCATAGAAATGGTCTAGAACTGAATCCATCATCGTTTTGTAGTCTGCTTCGCCGAGGACGACCTGTCCGCGCCCGGCCTCTGGCCAATCGAAAGGGTTGACAGCGCTAGATCCATCATCCCGGGGAAGTTTGGGGGAGGTATTGGCAGTCGTGGAATTTGTTGTTGCCTCCGTTAAGGTGGCGTTTTCTTCAGACTGGCTAGAGCCACTCTGTACTTTCTCCTCGTTCGCAATAGTCTCAGAAATCTCTGTTCTATCGGAGACCGGGCCGTTGTCAGAAGAACCACATGTTTGGCTTTCCATTGATGTCGAGTTCATGAGGCCCGGAGGATTGATGACCAACCACAGAAAGCCGACTAACCGACCAGCAGAGCATTCTTGACGGAAAGACATCATCTCCCAGAATTGGTCCAAGGAACGTACGCTGCGCCAGCGTCCGGCATTAGAGACAACAGGCTGACCTTCCTTCTCCTCGGGAAGTTCACCGTCTAGGTCGATGAGGAAACGAGTCTTGGGATCATCAGGGAAACGAGGCACCAAGCAGCGGGGAGGAGCCGAGGGGTCATGGCACAATTGCTTCAAGGGGTAGCTGTTGAGCCACCGTGGGCGATCCTTCGCATCGGTCTTGGCCGTAGGCGGGAAGAAATTACGTGTCTCAAAGCGGTCACAGCTTGGAACGATCAAGTATGCGGTAGCAGAGGCCTTGGCAGCTTCAATTGTTTGATCTAGCGCTTTCGTTTCTTGAAGAGCAGATTCTGGTTCGTGCTCGCGTAAAATCGGATCTAAAACACGACACCACCATTTGATTAGGCCTCGATCGTCTAGAACGTGCTTTTCGGCGTTCTCAATGCTGCCCGGAAACAGGTACTGATTCTGGGCGCGGGCGAACAGCGACACGACCAGACGTACACCGGGCCGTTGGCGGGTCCGAGCCAGAAATGAGAGAAATGTGTTGGAGACCAGCCTCAAGATTGACACCTTGCGTGGCAATTTTAGAAGATGCAGGAAACCAGTCGAGTCGGCCTTGGAGACGAAGATGGTAGTCAAGTGGGCCGTGTTGTAGACCATCACCTCCATTCCGAAGATAATTGTCTCACCGTCATCATTGGAGTCAATTGACACTGAGAGGAAATGATTTTCGCAGAATGTCGGTTCGGAGACCTGGCCCGGCGGAGCTGCAAAGAGAGCTTCACATGGAGTGGGTGTTGAGGAGACATGGCGAACGGTGATCTCAACCCCGGTGGGGAGCACCTTGGCCAAGAGATCTCCCAGATCTGCCGCCATTCTCGTTCATCCAATGAGAATCGTGGAAAAGGTGAAGAGAGGAGCTGGAGACCGCGGAACTCGATTTCGCGCCCTTGGAGATCACGTGCCAGGAACATATATGGACTGCCGGTTTAGGAAGGTCAATATGTAGACATTTAGCTAGAGCGTTTTAATCGGGTCATGCAAATACGTAGATAATGAGAGAGTGAAGATTTCAGTGATGGGATCAAGACCAGGTGGTTAGGTAGAATACGTAAGTGAAAGAACATGGGGATGCTTTGTGCCCACAAGCATGTTTGCTCAATACATATATCAAAGGTTATACATAGAAAGTCTTTTGCATAAAGTATGCTGTTTCCCTATCTTTTATGCCAGCTACCTATAAAACCGAGAAGGGCGAGAAAATGTCCTAAAGGCATCTATGTTGTAAACAGAATATATGAGACCACTAAAATACCACAAAAAAAGAGTATCAAAAAGACATCTCAAGGCCGCCTACTATTGGAGTAATATGAGTCAATATCTTGCATTTGGAAGCGTGGGACCTCTGTTTGCTCATCGGTTCTTTCACTTCGCCAGTCTTTTCCTACATCCACGACTTCAACCTATCACCTCAACCCAAACTGCTACCCATGGACACAAGCAGAACCAGAAATGCCACTGAAGGTGAGCAAGACTAATTTGATTAATATCTCATCAGACACGAGATGCATGGCTTCTACAACACTTACATCAAGTGTAACAGGGCCCTAACCTAATCACGCCGAGAATACCTATTAAGATGTCTCACAGACATTCTGGAGACCTCCCAGGCGAGCCTACATTTGTGTCACCTCGTCGTGCTCAAACAATTCACTGACTATGCACCTTAGTGCCTGACCTCAACAGGCAGGAGGTATGCATCCAGTTGCAGCTCCGGTACGCCTGTGGTCACTCTACAGGTGGCGAATTCATCAAATGTCAACGCCACATGGAAAAAGAGGATGAACGCTGCGCTGGCCGTCAAATTCAGCATATCGATGTCAAGAATTCGCCACACAAGTGCCGTTTATGCCTGCGAAGTGAGTGAGATATGGCATGGTATCCATTTGGCAGGAGTTGATGGATGGCTTTATCTTGGAAGTCTTGGGAAGGATGAAGACGAAGCGTTAAGACACATGAATATCACATTGACGGAGGATCCGGTACTTTCTATCATTGAATCAAGGAAGCCCCCGGAAGGAAATTCAATCATGGCTATTAATCCAATCCCAGTAAAAAGCCACGCGAGGGGCGTCAATGTAATCGAGTGCATGAGTTACTGTACCGCCTTTATGTCAATTTTGGGGCCTGTTGTCACTCAAAAGTAAGACGCAACAGCATCTAAATCATCGGCATTGAGCAGAATGACCCCTTCTCTCAAAAGAGTCCTCCACACAAGGTTTCGTGTACGAATTGGGAAGTACGGCGTGTTCCAATATCTAGCACCGATTCCGCGCTCATTTGCAGTGGCAATTTGCTCTCGGAGAGCTTTGAGTTGGTCGTCTGAGAGAATTGGGTCCGTGTCGGCAGTTATCTTGCCGACGGCTGCCTGAAAATCGGTTGAAGCAACGGGCGAGATAATGCTAGTTATGTGGGCGTACTTGAAATTATCGAGATCCGCGAGAGGGGCATCGAAAAAGTAGTCTCGGTCTTTGATGGGCGCAACCATGTCGAACGGGGTCTCTCCCGTTCCAATGATAGTGACGGGTCCATTGGTAATGGTCTTGCCATCCTTGACGGTAGTAAGGTAACCCTTCTCTCGTAGAGGTTCTAAAGCAGCAATGACAGCTTTAAACGTCTCAGGGCCGGATGTCTTCACATCGATGAAGAAGTAAAGTGTTTGGTCGGGAACAGTATCCCACACGCCGCTGTTTTGATAAACCATCAGCAGTGAGGGTATTGAGCCCTGGTCAGATACTCACTTTTTAGTAGGTGATGTTATAAATGGACTATCAGGGTTCTGGCGCTCCAGAACGTCTAAGATTGGATTGATATACAAGGATTCAAGAGTGCGCGACACCGTCAGGGCGGATTCATCATGGCCAACCTTGTTTGGTTAGTATGCTACCCAGAAGAGCGGGCAAGATCTCATAGCTTAACCAAACTCACATAGAGGGTGCCGTTGTATAGCCATACATCAGCTTCGGTGGATGTGCAGCCATGCGAGAGCCCTGTGCATGGTAATGTTAGGGGTAGTCAGACATTAGGCACTAGAGCTCCGGTATACCAGTATAAAAAGGCTCGTCTCGCCAATAGTCACTTTGGTAAAATCAGTATATGATTAATTAGGAGCGAGCATCATGAGAAGTATCCTTACTTATGAGAATGAACAGGAATCTAGACATTCGCCCGGGTTAACAACATTGTCCAGATGGCGGAAAGCCCTACAGAGAGTTTATCGATATATGATATCGCAGATAAACTCACAGGTAGGAGATCTCTTGTTAGGTCAGTGGGATACCCATAGTCTGAGCTACCGTGGGTGTTTCTCAAGATGCTCTGTAGGCTAGAGGTGATCGCCGCAATGGCTGGATCCGGACCCGCGAGGAGAGCCACAACAACGCCAGAGAGGAATAACATGAAGGCGGAGAGCATTAGCTGACCAAATTATCCAATTAATTGATCCACCTTCACGTATCGAGCTGGAGTTTAAAGAAGGTGAAGTGAATTGACTGAAAATCGAAGAGGCAAATTGCAATGACGATCGGAACTCGCACTCACGTGTTTCCCTAGGGGTTTGTATCCATGACCATAACGCCGAGATGGAATATTTTATGAATACAGAACTATTTTTAATGTATCATATGGAGGATCATATGGCCGATTCCTTGACTATTAGAAAACACCACCAAAAAGAAAATTAGAGATGCGAGGCCTATTGTTTACTGACTACAAGAAATCGAGAAGAGTAATGTATGGTATTTGGCATGAATGCCAGAAAGTGCTAAAAAAAAACTTGAAAATCGCAAGACTAGCTCCGTCATCCAGGGAATTTGATGACGGACGGTAGCGAGATTGTCGAAGAAGAGGTCAAGTTGTGAAATGAAAACTATGTACATCACGGAAATATGACCTTAAACCTCCCGCACACTTGGTGAAGAGGCAGCTCCGGAGTCTTGTGAGTTCCGACCCCGAAGGCTGAGGTTTCCGATGCGTTGGACCAGGTTGCTGCCCACAGCATCAACTGCACCCTTGGGCGCAAGCAAGGTCGGGCCTTGAGCGGCAGCTTCTTGGACTCTGAAGAGTTTAATGGCTGTGCCGTTCCAGACACCAACTGTTCCTGGAGTTGCACCAGAAGCGGAACCGACTACCATCTCGCTGGAGAAGATGAATCCCCACAGCAGCGATTCGTACCAGCCCATTGAAAGTGCTGACCACTCGAATGATTGCACGCGAACGGGAGTTGGCTCGGAGATTATACTTGTAACCTCGGGCTCTTCAGCAAATGATGGGAGGTTGTGGATTAGTGTGCGGGCTTCCGGGCTAGCTGCGCTTGCGAGCGCTGCATCAGGAATATGAGGTGCAATGGCTGAGATGATGGTGAGGATCGTGTGCAAAGGAAGTTCGGGCAACCAAGACTCGAGCTAGGAAATATTGTTAGTGGCGGAAAATTTGGAGGAAAGGTCGTTGGTCTGTATAGACTTACCCATGGGACGGTTGGTGTGAAGCCACTGGCAGAGGGGGTGAATATAGCAGACATGCTTGTCTGACTGGTCATGCTGTTCTGTCGAGAGAAAGGAGGATGCCCAGCAGGTTTCTTTCCCCGTGCCTTTTCGGACATTGCTCGCACCTGCTGCGCTCCGTTCTCGTCTATGGTGGATGTCACGGAGGGTCTACGTGAGGTTTGAGCTGAGAATGATGACTGAGATGGAGTCTGTGTTCCCTCTTCCTCACGTTCATCATCGGAGTCGTCATCGCCAATTGCAAATGGGCTGTTCTCTTCGGGAATTCTAGTCAACGGGGACCGGGCACCCGAAGGAGTGTGTAGATCATCCTCTGACTGCTGTGAAAGTGTAGGGCTGACGGCAACATCTGAAGAACTGCCAGCTTTCCTTTTCTCATTCTGCCGCTCGATCTCTTGCTGGCCACTCTCGAGAGTGAAAGCCCTCACAGCTTCAAAGCGTTGCTTATATTTCAGTATCGAGTAGACGAGATATGGGTTGTCTAGATAAAATTAGAAACTGCTTGTCTGAAGGGGAAGGACCGGATAGGGAGTTTACCGGTGAACTTGTGCTCGAGGATTATGTTGATGAAGTCAAGCAACGATGCAAGAAGAGTGTGGTTGGTCTCGTTCGCCAACAAGAAGCTGGGCGCAGACATAGAAGAGAAAAGTTGAATGACCTTCGAGCAGGCGCTTGGAGAAATGTGCTCGATATAGGGAGCAACGTTGTTGAGGATAATTAAAATGGCAGGATACACAGTGTCTAGATTCCCCTTGCTAGTTGTCATCAACGTGTGAATTGACTGCGGCGGTTAGTATGGTATTATGATCTTGGATGGGAAAAAAAGACGAACCATGATCAAATAGTCGGCATAAGACCCCCGGAACTTGAGTAGCCGGATCGACTGCGGTAATGTCTCTTGAGCCTCGAAACTGTTGTTTAGGCTCTTCCCAAACGTTGGCTCCGCGCTCATCGTCTGAAGGATGAAAACACACATCCGGACCACTCCTTGCTTGGAAGCATCCGTCCTATACTCCATCGCATAGAAGATACATAGAACAAGGAAATCATGGGAGCGATTGGAGTCGATGATAAATGACCGGAACCTTTTGTTGCATTGCAAGGTCTCCCAGAAAAGGACCAACATCTCAGGGGCCCATTTCACCGATTTCTGACTCCCAGGAAGATAAGAAGCAGTAGCTTGCATCTGGTTTGATCAATCAGCATAATGTCCGAATACATGGTTTAGCAGAGAATAAATACCGGTTGGTTCAGAATTCTCGTCATGCCATCCACCAGAAATTGGAAGTCTTGAGGTCTATGTAGCCTCCCGAAGTAGTGGCGATAATAATTCTTCGGTGGAGTTCCACGGCCGTCTTCTGGAATGGGATACATCAAGAGGACAAGAAGAAGTTGCACGCAATAAATCACCAATATCTGCTTGGGATCTTTCCAAACTACGTGGTCGTATGGGACTCTCCACGACGCAGGGTTATACTTCATTGCCTGTTTTGAATTAGCATGGGCCCCTACCGCCGATTGAGCAGAACATACGGTATTGAGAAGGGAGCAAAGGAGGGTCAAGACAGCCTGCTTATCTTGGCAAGTTGTGATGTAAGTAATTGCCTTGACGCCTTGGACGGGCAATGTATCTATACCAGTCAGTAAATGGTGGAATACCTTGGCCACATCAGACTCCGGACTCACTAGGCGGCAAATACATGGCCTTGCCAGTCAGTGTAAGCATAAGTCGTAGAATCTCGCATCGGTTGCTCTCCAATGTTTTGTTGGACCCCATAGCCGTGTTGCAGCCAACACCACTCTGCCAAATCGAAAAAGAGACCTTGCTCTTCGCACTTGGAAGTCGAGGGATTGTGAAGTCGGCAAAGAAGAGTAAGTCCATCAATGTGTCTATCAACTCCTCGGCAAGAGGTTTCACATCTTCGTAATCCTCTGCGCGCGGTGATGTCGCCTCTTGGTTATCCTCCGGTTGTGCGTCGTCAAAGATGACCTCCCCAGCAATCTGTGACTGTCTGGTCCTCCTCCTTCGAGTCGCCCAGAAGAAATTATCCTCCCATTCCTCCAGATGCTCCGCCTCGTAAACATAGGGGAGGAGGCGAGTGAGGATCCGAATGCAGTTGAGGACATCACGTTCGGGGGCAAGATCTGGGTCGGGGAACGAGGGATGGTTTTTCAAAACAGTTAGTTGCGAGGTGACTGCGAGTAGGAGTGTTTGGAAGTTGGGCAAGGCATGATCGCGCGTGCGTCGTATGTCGGCCGGTGTGAAAAGGCTAAAGACATCTTCGGTTGATTCAGGAAGCTCCCAGAACTGCCGGTGTGGTTAGCCTCCAAGTATTCAGGACAGATATTCATTTTGTATCAGAACGTACTCTGGTCCAGTAGGGGTCGTCTGCGGGGATCTCCTGTTCCTCCGAGAGGCGGAAGATGCCCTGTTTGAAGACAAGCTTGGACTCCGAAGCTCCCATAGCGGAAGGAAAGAGCTGCTAGATCACGCCGTTGTGGGCTTCATGCAGATTTTCACAGCAAACGTTAATGTGTAGGTGAGAGATTGCCTATTTGCCAAGTGCTAGAAGTGGTTGGCGGTCCTAATCGTCCGGGCGCGGGATCTTGGCCTGAACACGGGGTATGGAAGATCGGCTGAATGCCACCACGATTTACAGAGGACTAAGATCACAGCAGAATGCTAACTTGTCTAATATAAGTCTCTCTTGTTTATATTCTTACCATTTCCTCGCATCTATCAAAAGAAACTTTTAGCATCCATCCATACCGAGGGACGGAAAAGATATCCAACAGCCCGACTTTTTATAAATAAACAAATATTTGTCAATGAAAGCAGCTTGTAATAATAAACCTTGAATTGGTATCTTTGTAATACATTGTAAATGAAAGAACCGCTATGACATTAAACACCATAACCATGAATGACCCAAGCGCCCGTTTGCAAAATTGATCAGAAGACTGCAGAGAATCAGAGAGTTCCTCCGCTGGCCGAAAGCCGCCGGCTCCTCTCATATAGCCACTTGTTCTTGACTCCCAAATTTCCCCGTTTGCCCATGAGCGGAGAAGGCGTACTTGGGCCCATGCTCGAGGTCGACTCTCCAAAGGAGTTACTTCGAGCCAGGGGGGATGCAGAAGATCCAAAGCTCTGGGACCCAAAGCTCTGGCGTTGAACAGATTCTCTGCCTCCATTTGACATTGCCCCATTTGACATTGCCCCATTTGACATTGCTTTATAAAGAAGAGGGCTGGAGGCAGGCGAGAAGGGTGTGCCGATAGAAGAGCGTCGCTCAGAAAAGCTTGCATTTGCGGACATAGGCGAGCTCTGTCTGCTTGCAGGACTGGCCTTACGTGAAGTGGAAAGTCGGTATCTGGGTGGGGTAACATATGTTGTCCCAGGGGTTGCTGGTGGTGTGACGGCAGGATCCAAGCCAAGAAGTGAGCGTTGGGTGGGGGTAAGAGGAATGTCGGAGAGGTCGTCCTTTGGCCGGAAGAGGGGATAGAGTGCCACTAGGATATTGAAAACGAAGAAGAGCTGGAGGATGAATAACGGGATTTCTTGATACAAATGGTTGGTATCAAAAATTTGGCGTGAACTTAGACGAGCTTGTTAGCACGCGACGCGACGCACCGGAGTTCTTATCGCACTCACTAGTTTTTGAAGGTAGATCCAAATGTCCAGCTCATTGCCAAAGCTGCACTGTTCCAAACCAGCTTCTTCACGTTTTTCTGATCAAACGTAGCTGCATTTTGGCGCCGGACGATCTCATCGAGCTGAGGGTGTCGCCATTTTCCAGGGGTCAGGTTACCCTCTGGGGTGGGAGGAGCCAGGGGAGGTGTCGCTTTCGGGGTGGAAGGAAGAGATTGAGTCGCCATTGCTACTGTGTTGAAGCTGATATCAAGGGCAGAGAACGAGGCGAGATTGACTCGAGACTGGAATCGTGAAGTTAGCCACCGGTCCGTACATGCTTAGACTGTTTTTTTTTCTTTCTCTTTTTGACATGAGGGATTGCACTCACTGATATTATGAACTTGTTCAGCACTTACCTGGGGTGAAACACGAGGAACTGTTAGTTAGTAATGCATGTAGCTATGAACAATTATTCTTTTAGAAAGTCATTATTGTTGACCATAAGACGGGTTGACGATCCCAAAGTGGCTGCGCTCGGGGCTCGAGGAAGGGGTTGCACGGGCATAAGTTGACCCGGCCAAGCTGACACACCCCTTATCGTGCCCCTCAACGTCATAGTCCCCGATTGTTGACACTTCTTCCTCTGCACATCAAAATGGCTGCTATTACTTCACTCGTGGAGAAGGTAGATGCTTTGGTGGCCGATGCCCTCGCCGACTGGAATATATACACTACCCTTGTCGCCGGGGTTGTCGTCACATTTGGGCTTTACTCTCTCATCTCGTCTCGAGATCCAGATGTGCATCCGTTCCTACTTGCTCGCCAATCTACAGCATCCCCAATCCGCCAACAGGGTGAATCTGCTACTTACAGGTGCCTGGAAACCCCCATGGCTTGCCCCTTCGTTTTGGACTGAATGTCAAGGACCCGGGCGCTCCGAAATGGACTGGCGGTCGCAGAGGAGACCTGCGCGATATCTGGAAGACCGCTATGCGTGGAGCTCTAAATGAGGATGGTACTATGTCGGGAAAGCAAGGCAAGATCTACACTGTCCTAGGTCGAAAGGCTATCGAACACTCTTTGGACCAAGTGACCCAAGAAATCAACGTTATCGGTCATCATCTCCAAAACTCCGGCGCGAAGACGGTGGCTGTTTGCCTTACAGACTCCATCGAGCTTCTAGCTACAATCTTTGGTATGTCTACTGCCATTTAGTGTGTTAGTCTGGATGTCTAACCTTGCTCAATCTAGCCGGTGCTTTCTATGGATACAAGACGGTCATTGTGCCGCACAACCTTCCAGCGGAGACACTATCAGCGCATCTACAACAGGTCAACGCGGATGTTCTTATTGCCGAAGCCGGATCTCTTGACCTGTCTCTTATTGCCAAGGGTAACAATCAATTGTCGCTCGTCCTTTGGGTCGCCAAGTATGGCAACCGACACATGGACTGGAACGAAGTTCCCGAGGACGCCAAGCAAAGTCTGAAGGTTGCAGTTTGGCATGAACTGGTCGAGGAGTTCAAGGAACTCGCCAGCTGTGATGTACCGCAGTATGACCCAAAGACAGAAACCCCTGCCGTCAGCACTGTTTGGCCGTCCTCCTCACAGTCCGGCAAATTCATCGATTTCCAGCCAGAAGTAAGACAAACCCATCCCGTGGTGATACCACTCTCACTAACATTCAACTAGAACCTTGTGTCTGCCATTGGAGCCATAACCTCCTCTCTCCCTCGTACCCAGCGTTTCAACCCAACCGATATTGTTCTTTCTATCGACTCTCTTTCACGGTCCTACCCGCTTTGCACAACTCTGGCTGCACTGTTTGCCAACTCATCCATCGCCCTTAACTCGGTCGCTGGAGAGAATGTCGATTTTGCTTTGGCTACGGCTGGCGTGTCTCCCACAGTCATTGTCGCTTCATCGCAAACCATGGCTGAGTACCACGACAATATCATGCGCCCGCACACTGGTATCATTTCCTCTCTTGGACGCTGGCTCCAGGCACGGACTTTAGATGCAGGAAACATGCCGACACGCAACTTTTTCAGCCAATTGGCTCGTGTCAGCCCCACTTCTGAGCTTTCGCTAGATGAAGTGCGCTTGCTCTGCATCTCCCACCGCATTGATGGCAACCCTGCTGCCCATCTTACCTCCGAGCAATTGACCGAGCTTAGAATCTTCACTGGGGCTCGGGTTGTGTATGCCCTGACCGGTCCCGGTGTTGCTGGTGCGATTGCCCAGACAAATGCCTTTGACTATAGATGCCTCACCGGTCCTAGCCACTTCGGTGCTCCACTGAGTAGCACGGAAATTACTCTGACCAATGTGCCCGAAGGCTCTCCTGACGACACAGCAGAGGGACAGGTATGCCACGCTCAGTTCCACCGCTTTCATACACAACTAACATTCACGTCTCTAGCTCACCGTCTCTGGCCCTGCTGTTGTCGGCGGCACCATTACTCTTCCCGGCCGAGCCCGCATCAGCAAGGATCATACCTTGGAATTGTGTTTATGAGCGTGTCAATCCAAATTGACCGATTGAAATAGCATTTCCTTGGAGCGTACTTGAAACTTGAACTGCTGGGACGTTTGGTAATGAAATTGACCAAACTATTGCGTATATCTGAAATAGCACCTAGCGGGATCAGATGTGGCAGGAAATAAAATATCTATTCTCTGAAATACAGGCCAGCTCCAAAATATCTGGGAAGTACAGTAATATACATGCCGATGTGGCTCAATCAACACCAAAAGGAATCACAACCAAGCTCATGCGTTTTCCTCAACCTTTTATTTGAGCTTTGGCTCGAGCAATTGCTTAACCACCTTGTCATCAAGCACGTCAACGTTCTTCACTTGCTTCAACTGCGAGATCAGGACAGGCTCCAGCGCATCGCAGCGAGCCTTGAAAGTCCCAGTCTCTTCTGATAACTTGGACATCTTAAGGCTCAAACGCATGCCGTTGTAAAGGGCAAGGTTCTCCTCGACTCTCTCAACGTTTCCGAAGCGAGTGGTCGCATCGTCCTTGAAATTTCCTCGGGACCAGGCTGCATCAAGCTTCTGAGCATAGCCACGGACCAAGGATATATCGGCCTCCTTAATTTTCGCACAGGCGGCACTGAGTTCCAAAAGTGTACCAATAACGAAAGGCTGGTGTTTGGGGTCTTCCTCGATGTTCGGAACGGAGTGTTCCTCGGCATCCATCAGGCTAGCTGCCTCCCTCGCGAGTCTCAGAGCTTTAACGGTTGGGACACCCTTGAAGTCCGCTTTCGCGGCTGTCTTGTGAAGCTCGAAGAACAGACGGCGAGTGATGTTCCTGTTGCTGAGACTCAAGCCGGTGCGGTTAGACTGCCTGGCGCACTCGATAATGGTTGAAAGCTTGCCAGCCTCGCTGGTTTTGCGAATAATATACTCCCACCGATCGCTGGTGATGGCATAGTTTGACATCCGGAGTCCACTGAGGTACGGGAAAAGGTTGCTGAAGTTCTTGGTCGCGACCATCATGTTGAGAACCTCGAGAGCCTCTTTCTTCGAGGGCAGTTCGTGGTGCTTCTTGGGCGTTAGGGTGAACTCTTCGTTCTCGCTGATCTTCACGACAATCGGCTCATTTTCCAATTGCTTGGCGTATTTCTCCCTGAACACGCTCTTTCTCTGTCGCTTGGGAAGACCAAGGGGTATGAACAGCTCATTGCGGAACCGCTCCAGGGCTTCGTTTAACTCGGGGGAGGGTGTTGAGGTGAAGGTTGGGATTGCTGTTCCGGTCGACTCCGATGAGTATTTGATACTATGATGGATATATTAATGCATACCTGAGTTTGAACCGTAGCTGCGGGCCTGCATCGGTCTCAGAATTGACTGGCGCACCGAGCTGGTGGTGCTCTGGCGGAAGAGCCTGCTCATGGCGATTTGCGCCATCGTGTGTGATCAGAGGCTATGTATGAAGCGATTCAGGGTATGAAAGTAGTAATCACTAAAACGATAAACTTTCCCCAAAGCAACAAGAAAACGAGGTTGATTGGTATCCTGGAGTTGGGGGAGAAAAAACAGTCGCGTTATCGTCGAAACCCCCGAACGGGCAACAGGAGGCTTGGCGGAAATTCTGCCGATCCGGCCAAAACTCGACTCCGACTTTCTTGACTTGACATCCACATCACAACTATGGCGGCTCTACCAGCAATGCGCCCGCTGGGCTGCTTAAGGTCCTTGGTGAGGGCTTCAGAGCCTATCCAACCCTTCATTAACCGTCGATTCATTTCGACGGCCTATTCAAAGAGACCCGAACGGGTACCTCTTCCCCCGAACATGCCTGAGCAATTCCTAACTCAAATCCCTCTTCGCTTCCGTCCGGATCCTGGTATGTCTTCTTCAATTGAGTCATAACAAGGCGAGCTTTACTGATTGTCGCTATCTCATGTAGAGCGCGAGCCCCTCAAGATCTACCCTGCTCCGCCGTCTGCTCGCAAAGCATGCAAGGACCCTATCGCAGCGGTTACCGAATCGCAACTGGCAGTTCTCGACCCCACGGGCGAGCGTAAGGCAATGTTCGACTACCGACGAAACCCGAAGAGTGTCAAGACCGGCGATATCGTACGAGTGACATTCAAGAACGGCGACCCATTCAACGGAATTGTGCTGAGCATCAAGTTGCGCGGAATTGAAACGTCGTTCCTTATGCGAAATGAGCTCACTCGTGTTGCTGTTGAGATGTCGGTCAAGGTCTTCAGTCCCAACGTGAACAGCGTGGAGATTGTCCAGCGATCGGAGAAGAAGCGCAGAAGAGCGAGATTGTTCTACCTGAGAGACAAGGCGCACGACCGTCGCAGCGTGGAGAACGTTGTGGCGAGCTATGTTCGCCAGAAGAAGGCTTTCTTGGGTGGCGGCAATCGTCGGCGGTGATCGAGTTAGAGGGCGTCTGGCGTGACCCTCATTTGCATACATGTGGCTGTATTACTACCTATCATTCTGTACTTCATCTGTGTTTATAAATTGCGAAATACAACTTTGAGCTCTTCTATTATAGCGCCCATTCTCATAACATCCATGGATGTTTTGTTGCGACACTCGCCGTTTTCCGACTCAACGCTCTTCCCGGCAATTTTGTTTCTGTTTTCAACCGCGTGCTGGATGATGACTCGATATCTACCTTAAACAACGAATGAATGTCTCTGTCTAAGGTGGATATTTGCTGTCCCTTGCAACACATTATTCTTGCTCTCTCTTTACATGTCGGCAATTTGAGAAAAGCAAATCAGTTCAATCCTTCGATGCCTCTCCGAACACCCGGTCCTTCCACACCTGGAAGAAACGCCTCATCTGCACATCCTGATGAACGAATGTATCCCGCCCTTCATCCAAAACGAGGATCCTCAAACCATTACTAGTATCTAGCCCTACTTCCAGCGTATCTATTTTCCCATTGGAATCTCGCGAGTCGAGAAACCCTTTCCCCTCGTTTGCATATATCAAGACTGCCGATGCAGTCTTCGAGTCCATATGGTTGTTGAAGAAGTAATATTTCTCGAGAAACAGTTGTTTTCCATCCTGCGAATCAGTTAGCACGACAATAGGAATTCAAGGGCACAGCACTTCCAAGGATGATGGCCATGGCTTCGTTTTCGAGGCCCCTGTCATCCTGTGCATAGGCCCGGTGGAATACGGCTCCATCTGGCGTGTTCATCATTTCTGTGAATCTGTCAACCGGCGTTTCTATAACAGAACGCTCGAGTCTCTCGGGGAGATCTTGCTTAGATGTTTGTGATATAAGAAGGAATGCGGAGCGTTATCTACAGGATACTGTCGTTTCTTTCAGCAGTCAAGTGAAGGAAGGTCATTCGAGCAAAGGTTGCTCTGCATTGCACATCACATCTAGTCTTGTATGCTCTTCTCTGTTTCGTACAACCAATGACAATGGCCCATGACGACTGGCCATCTCACAGACACGGATTCTATCTTCTTGTCCAACGAAGATGTGAGCAATCCCATCTTTCCCATAGCCATCCTCCGATACGTGGCAGTCCAATGATATCCGAATACTGTACTAGAGTCAATGTCGTACTGGATCGTGCATTGGTCTTACCAATCTCCAAATTCTATTGGGTTATCTAGCTTGGGCTCTCTTGTGTGATTAGAATACCCAGACAATAGATCGGACATTTACACTCGGAGTATTGTTCTCGCTTTCTTCTCCCTCAGATTTCTTTCTTACGTCGTGAGAAATCATGTCCTGTCATTTCTCTCTTTCTTCGTGAGGTTTTCTATAATTAATTAGATGGGCTACACTGGAACGGATATTACTCGGTTTCTTTGCTCAATCTCATACTGTTCAGAAACACCCCACGGGAAAAGGACTAGACATCAGATTCTCGTGTGAAATATGAGTAAAACAGCCATAGGAAGCTGGTAATAGGCTTGTCTTGAGAGTTTCTGCTATTCCTCAATCTAATCATGAATATACTTCGTGGGTCACTTCTGAAATTGAATCCTAGTGCAAAATATAAATACGTTCATAATATCCACTCCGATGTTGTATGTAGATTCATGACCATGAAGAGAAGAATCTAACAGTTAATAGATGTATCGGAAGCTGTTGGAAACCATTAGCTTTCTTCCTACCATTTGAAGGACAGCAAAATAGAAATAGGACAAGGCAAAGAGACATACTTCAGGTTTTCTCGGTCCGTCAAATCCAAAAATGCAGTCGCATCCAGATCTCTCCCCTCGAGACCACCCTCCATCTGGGACTGGATACGATCGCGCTTTTGATTTTCCCAGCGCAGCAATAGACCAAGAATGCTGATTAAAACGGCCTCAATCAAGTGCGAGACAATCATGGACCAGATGCCGAGCGGATAGGTAGGTCTATAAGTTGTGTTAGCTCTCTGATTCTGGAGATGATAGAATTATCATAGGGGAAAACGCACGATTGATCGGTTTTATAGAAGAACGGCCCAGCAATGTTTCCGGTGCAGTATCCCAAGAAGAGCACGGCGTTGGTGACGACTTTTTTAGTATGGCCTAAATACATATTAGCATTGGTATATGTGATGTTTTAGATTAAGGGTGAGCCGAGGGGAAATGTTACTTACCAGCGGTGTTGGCCATTTGCATACTCAAAACAAGTACAAATGCAGCATTGTACGGGCCTGTGAGGTAATAGCAAATCAAGCGGCCCACACTGTGTTCGACGGGAACAAAGCGAAGACCAAAGGATCCGGCAAGGTTAGGAATTAGGAAGATGAGGATGAACACGCATCGTCGATTTTCGTAGCGGTCGTTGAGGAAGACGCATGTCAAAATCGAGATGGCAATGATAAAGCCGTATGGAATCTAAGGTGCATATTGTGTTAGCTGAAGCTTATGTAGCTATCATATTATTCATACCTGCATAAGAGTTGTCACCAATGTTGAGAAACCAAACCCTTTAATGATGATGGTGCCAAAGTTCGAGATACCACCGTTGGGAATATTGCCTGTGTAGATGTTAATTGGAACCGATTTGGGCATGGCACAAGTCAC